CGTGGTCACGTCGAGCACCCTGAGGATGAAGAGCGTGAGCGCGAGGTTGAAGATGACCATGACGAGGAGCAGCAGCACGAGGGCGTACAGGCACCTCCGCCGCCACCCGTACAGGCCGAGGTGGTACTGGTGGGGCCCGCACTGGACGTTGGACCCCGGGGGATTGGGGTCCTCCCCCCTGTTGCCCCCCCCTGCCGGCTGCCCTCCTCGAGGCCCCGCGCCGGACCCGCTGCCCGCTCCTGCCATTATTCTGGGGGACAAGGGTTATGGATTAATTTTATAGTATGAGAAAAGTCGCAGGTGATATGGTTGTGTCACAGTATGTGCGAGTGGCCTTAATCCTTGTCTTCATCATTTAACAAACCACATGAATTACACCAGTATCAATGCAGTGAAAGCCATATATAAACTGCCACTGAAAGCAAATGCTCACCCACCGTAAACCTTTTTTCTCGGCCATTCCGGCGAGCTGCCCCCTCCCCCCATATATCAAGGGTCAAGAACAATCTCTCTACAAATGCGTCGCGAGGATGTGGTAATAGCACTGCCATCTGTCGGAAGGTGCTATTACCATCCGTCTCCTTCTTATCGATCATTATCTTTAGTGATCGTTCAGGAGGGACGCGTGCAGGTTCGTTCCTTTATGCTGATGGTGACGATCTCGAACGTCACTCTCTGATCAACATTTTCTGATCTGGAAGCTTATGACGTTCATTTGTATAAGTCTGGCTGGGAGTTTGCATATATCTTGATGGTACATTTCTCTTTTGAGTTAATTTTAGCCACACATTGTCTTTTTCAGTATTCAACTACAAAGTGAAACGAAAAATTAAAAGGAAGATTAAAACAGAAAAAAACAGGGTGTACGTATCTTTTCGCTTTTTCTCTCTCACGAAAGATACATAACACAATTATCAGTCATTGGTAAGTTTCTCTTTTGAGTTAATTTTAGCCACATATTGTCTTTTTCAGTATTCAACTACAACAACTTTTGTTTTATAAAAGTGAAACGAAAATAGGTAAATTAAAAGGAAAATTAAACAGAAAAAAACAGTGAAAAAAAACGAAAGATACATAACACGATTATCAGTCATTAGTAAAATTATTTCTGGCTGCGGAAGTCCACGTTGGTCACGAGCAGCTGTCAGACCGAAACATCGCGCTGGCAGTTTTACTGGTATTTTCCCATTTTATTAAATAACGGTTAAAGGAAAGGAAGCAAATGTATCATTAATTACATGCACATACCAATAGAGATAAGGAACGTGTGATAAAGAGAGAGAGAGAGAGAGAGAGAGAGAGAGAGAGAGAGAGAGAGAGAGAGAGAGAGAGAGAGAGAGAGAGAGAGAGAGAGAGAGAGAGAGAGAGAGAGACAGACAGACAAACAGACAGAGAGGGTATGAGAATTGGAAATCGAAAGAAGGAAGGAAAGGAAGTATCTCGACACTAAAAATCAAAGTTATTTTTCCTAAGGCGACTGGACAATTTTATTTCCAATATATACGAAATACTGAACTATTTGTCATTTTTTGTATTCGTCACTAAACATATTTGTTATATCAATGTATGACACGGTATGACAGTACATAATTTCGTTTGCCAAAACCAATTCAGAGGCGCAGGCTGTCAATGCAGGAGTGCGATCGCGGTGTTGGAAAAATAACATGCATTTTTTACCTTGTATTGATAACTTGAAACCTGAATGTCTCTGTGTGTTTGCATGCGGTTGATTATTAAAGGGATTTGCGTTATTTGCGTCGGTCATGTGTACAGAGTTTCATTAAAAGCATTTTTTATTCTAACGTATGTGCGTGTATATAACCTTTTCAAAATAATTAGTATTCGATCTCAAATTCCGTTACAGCAGTAATATGAATGTATAAACAGTCGACACGGTGTTCCTATCTTTTATTGTTGTTTTTTTATATATAAACTCAGGGATAAAAAAATATAGTAAATAAACCAAATTTTAAGGAAATTACCAGCGGGTCTCTGTCAAACTAATAAAACAAAATGTTTATTAGATACTTCCAAGTGAATTAGATGTGTAATTCATTATAATATACGGACTAGGAATTTTCCAGATACACTTTCCTGCTTTCCTGCCACACCAGCCACCGTCATTTCTAAATACGGAGAACGGAATTAAGATAGCTACAAAAGCTCTCATCTACATAAGCTTCACTGCAGCGAAATAACTTTAATTTCCTTTTAAGTTACAACATTTCATTAAGCCTCTGTAGCTTGAGCTTCTATACCACAACATATATCGTATTTCCTTGACATGTATCTCAGTAGAACAATGATGCTTTCGTTCCCTAGGCAATCGAGCGGTTTTTGCCATGACGTCTCTCTTCTTCAAACAGACCATGGTTATCCGACCGTACAACAAAACAAACATGTAGTAACGTGTGAGAAACTATATTAAATGGAATGAACACAGCCATTATAATACGGGAAACAGTTTCACTCGAAAGCGAACTTTAGTTCCTATGTAATG